AATTATGGAGCATTTTTTGGTACTCATTTGTTAAATGACCATATTGTTGTTGTTAGGTGCCATCAAGTCATCTCCAGCTCATAGCGACCCCACATATAGCAGAACAAAACACTGTCCGGTCCTGTGCCAGCCCCGTGATCTTTGCTATACAGGTAGCAAAAAAGGGCCTTCCCCTTTTTCGTTGTCCCTCCACTTTGCCAACCATGATATCCTTCTCCAGGAATGGCCCCTTTTTATTACCAAACGACCAAAGTAGGTAAGACAAAGTCTGGCCATTCTCACTTCCAAGGAGCATTCTGGCTGCATCTCTTCCAGGACAGATTCTTTTAGCAGACCATGGTACTTTGAACATTCTTCGCCAACACCACAACTCAAAAGCATCAACTCTTCTACGGTCTTCCATTTTCATTGTCCAGTTCTCACATGCATATGAGGCAATTGAAAATACCATGGCTTATGTCAAACACACCTTACTCTTCAAGGAAACATCTTTTCTCTTCAGCACTTGAAAGAGGTCTTTTGCAGCAGATTTGCCCAGTGCAATATGACGTCTGATTTCGTGACTGCTGCTTTCATGGGGCTGTGGATCCAAGAAATATGAAAGTCTTTGATAACTTCAGTCTTTTCTCCATTTATCATGATGCAGCTTATTGGTCCATTTGTGGTGATTTTCATTTTCTTTGTGTTTAGGTGTAATCCATACTGCATATTGGTGTTCAATGTCATTGGTGTTCAATGTGTCAAATTTATTCTTTAGATGGTCTCTAAATTCAAGTGGGATGTAATCAAGGTTATATGTTGGCTTTCCGTACAGGAAAATTTCCCTACAGGGAAAATTCAGCAGTTTTGAAGTGTAAATGATAATTTCTCAAAGTTAAATGTAAAATTATCAGAGTACCCCATGTTGAAACACTAAAAGTATATGGATATCAAGACCAATATTGATATCAAAAGAGAGTCATGAATTTGTAGAAAAGTTATAGTTCCTGATGAAAACATTCCAGTGATAAATGCTTATGTTTTCAAAGAAAATACTTAGCCAGGTGGTGGGACGTCGCACATTAGGGAAGAAAAATAATAAAAATATAAGAAAGAAACTGTTAACCTCTTAAAATTGAAGTTATTTAACAAGTATTTTAGTTATAAACACATGAAATTGTTCAAATTAAATACTGATTTGTATGTCAGTATTGGGATGTTTTATGAAATATACTTCATGAAATTAAAATTTTATTTTTCAGGAGATGATCTGTACTTAGAAGATTCAGACTATATAGAAAATGCTTTATCCAGTAAGAAAACGATTGAAGAATTCATGAAGGAAAGCAAAGCAGTTCACCGAGTAGTGTTGCATGATCACCATCTGTATAGTATCCATGTGACTGTTCAGTCAAAGTATAAACATGTTTATCCTAAGACCTATGTAGTGGATAAGAGCCGTATGTAAGGTGTTGCTTATTTGGATGATGGCTTATTTGAAGTATTCCTAATGGATAAGGGTGGACTAAACGTGCTTGAAACTAACTTAAGGCAATTTGTGCATGTAAAAGTTATAGTATATTCTTTCTTATTTTGAGCGTGTTACTGAACTCTCTCACTTATTTTCTTAAATTTTATACTGTGCCACAAGTATAAAATTAATTAATGATTTTGTTACCAAAATGAGAAAAATTTCACAAAGGTTTCTACTTCTGTACAGTTTTTATTATCACAAAAGTTTGAACAAGATTGTCTGCTATCATTGTTCTTCTAATTGTCCAGTGTGTTGCCCTGGTCTAGTGTTTTGAAGGTTGATTCATGAGTTCCTTGTTGTTGTTGTTATGTGCCGTCGAATCGGCCCCAACTCATAGCGACCCCTCCTTGGGTTTCCGAGGCAGTATCACTACAGAAG